GAGAACAATTACCTCCTTATGATTGATTTAAATTTGTTTCAAGTATTTTGTAATAATATTTAATCAGCAATTTAGATAATTTGGTTTTTGCCGGTTTTTACCAGTTTCTGTCGGTTTTTACCAGGTTTTTGCCACTGTCCTGGCAAAAATCCCTTTTTGCCGGCAAAAACTCCAACCCTGATGTAAATAGAAAAAAGTTTTATTTTTTTTCATCTTGTGTCACTATACGTAACTGTAGAAGTTATAATATGGTTATAGTTTTATATATAGTTATAGTTTTATATATAGTTATAGTTTTATAGTTATAGTTTAATGTAGTTTGAAACAAAATATTAGTTTTTTCTACTTATTTTAGCTATTTTTTTTTATTTTTTGAAGTGTGTAAGTTTTTGCAAATTTTCCGAAAATCCTTTATTTTGAGCTCTGTCGAATTGTGATTGTTACATTTCTCTACCGTGAAAGTATCCGCTTGCCCCCCCCCCCTGACTTTTTTGAAACTACAAGTAATAAACTCCATGAATGCTTTTTTTTTTGTTGACACAAAAAATACGCACACCTTTAAACTGTTAATATATGATTTTTAATATATATTTTAATTTTGTTGTTATTCAATAGTTTTCATGCTCTGTTTACTTTGCTAACGACACGGAAATTATGTTTTTAACCAAACACATAAATAAAAAGGCTCCGAATTTTTTTGTACTCCAAAAATATTATATTTTTCGGACTATTGCAGTGGAAACTCTCGGGAAAGACCACTCTCTGTGCCACAGTAAAATGGTCGCTAATGGAGGTTGGTTGTTCTTCGGGGTTACCTACATTAACTTCAAAATGTTGACATGACTTTTCGCAAGAGATTTTAATTTTACTCGGTGTTATTTTTTTGATGAGGAAATTCCACTTTTGTTAGCATCAGGAAAAGACTGATCAACGAATAAAATTTAGCTTCCATAAAAATGATAAAATTAATAAAAAATGCTGATAAAATTGCGTGTAAAACCAAATTTACCTATTGTAAATCATAAAGTTGTTTTAAATAAATAAACAACTATGTGTAAGTTTGCATTTAATTTGATATAAAAATTAGTTAGCTTTAAAAGAAGCGAATAACTGAGTTTCTAAAGTTTTTTTTTTTTTTAAAATTGAGCTTTTAGCTCTAAAAATAAATCGTTGATAGAATCGTCTTTAGTGCATTCTGATTACAACATGTGGTTGACAATCTCTTTCAGAGATCGTCAGAAAGAGCTCTCTAAATAAGGGCCACTCAAAAATAATTTTAATCTAGTTTTCCTTTCTGTTAATATTTTTGTTTTTATATTATTTTGTATTTTCTTATTTGACCTTTTCCTTATTTGGCGCAGAGGTTTGTCCGATAGCTGGAGGAGGTTTTGATGGTCTTCAAAGTTAAGTCCATGGAAAAAATTTAGTGCCTGCCTAAAGTGGTCATAAATAGAGGAGGTCTTTCCTGGAGATTTCACTGTATTTTAAAGATAATATTGTAACCATATATGTGCACTTTTTTGTTTTCCCTTTTGATAAAAAAAAATAAACATTAAGGTCGATCTTCAGAAAACACACTGCAAATGTTTTAAAATGCTTACCAGCAGAGACATACAAATGAGATCCAACGTCTCCTTGCCTAATGACTTGAGTCCCTTTGCTGAAATACTGTGAGTACATGCAGTCCACTATTTCTCTCACTTGAGAACTATCCAAATTCTTCAAGAAATCGTTCTCCATTATAGCATCTTTAATCAACTGCTTCGACCTGAACAAAATAATTTTAATATTTACAACAGAGTGTTTGACAGCACTGAGTAATTATATTTTGGTTGGTATCGAAACAATTTATTATTTTGATCTGGCGGCGCAAATGTTTCTATCTGCTGGCAACGGTAATTTAGAAGTGCTATTTTGACTCGTTTGCTTATTTTAATTTTTTACAGGCCTTGGAATGGTATGTCATTTTTTCGTGAGTTTATTGAGATTTTTACTTGTGAATAGTTTGATCATTTATGTTTTATGAATTATTTTGCTTTTCAGGGATTGAGGGAGATTTAGGCTTCAAATCACGAATAATACTTTTGCAAAACAGTTATTCACAGAAAAGCTATAATACTAAAGGAATGCAGGTATTCCTTGAAAAATTTCTGTATTGCATCATATTTCTTTTGTTGCATTGCATTCGGGTTTCTTTTATTCTATTAACTTTTAAAATTTCCATTCTGAAATTATGGTAAATTATTTCAACCAATTAACCGCAATTTTTTTTACTTTTACGGATTTAAAGCCGTTTAGAATCAGAATGGTTAAAAAAACATGAATGCAAAACTATATGGCATTTTTAACCATTTACAACTAGCATGGTTTCAAACCCGTAAAGAATGAAACTTAACTCTACATTGGAGAGAGTTAGCAGCTTTATACTTCTGCCACCTATGCGGGAATGAGAGTATCGAATTCCAACAGTCCAGGGCACAAATTGGGGAGTGCAGGACACTGGGAAATCATCAATCGTCGAAGGGAATGGATATATTACGGCATTAACCCCGGGGCTCAAGCGCCCGTTCTGCCAGTCGTGAGATTAACAGATTAACCCTCTCGGCTATTGTATGTACCCTTCTGCGAAGAACTAAGTGGCTTCATTAAGTGGATCTAGTTAGTGCGATAAAATTCTGGTTGTTTAACAGTATTAGGTGAAATCAGTTAATAAACGACTTTTTTTCGCAGTTAACAGTTTGAATACCATCTTATTTATGGCTAATATACTATGTTTAAATATGGTAAAGTACCAATTAAATAAATTGCTACTCAACCATTTTTTCATAGGAATTTTTAACAGTGTTTCAATTTAGTTATATAATGCTCTATTTTCGTTATTAATGTAATCTTCATAATTTCTTTTGAATATGACTTCCGTTGGAATAACAACACTTTTGATGATAACAGCACATTGGTAATTCATATCAATTATTGTAATTTCGTTGCAAATTTTTTTAAGAAGTGCTTAGGAACAAAATTATTATAAAAAATTAAAATTATCTTTTGTCAGTAAGTATTCCAACGACTAAAAATTTCATTTCAGTTTTTTGAACATTTAGTATTGTTTTCTCCCCTCAAAAATAGATTTATGCAAATTATGCATTTACTGTATGAAATATTTTTAAAAATTCAAATTTTTAATAATTTAAATTTTGAGATTTATTTTATTTCAAAAAGGAATATTGTTGCAGTAGATATAATTCGAAAGCAAACTTTTAAAATAATTGCAAGAATAGAAAAAAATGTTCTTGAAAATGCACTTTTTCATTAAAAAATAATTAAGTACTTTGAAAAAAGCACTGTAAAAATTAAAATTGTAGTAAAAAAATTTTTGATAAAAATGATTTTCAGCTTATCACTGCGAAACATAATTTTTAAAAATTTAATATTTATTTAGGTTCATTTTAGGCAATAACACTAAGCTGCTTCAAGAAAGGCTCTGACACAATTCCTACTAATTTTTATGCTGAATAATTTTATGATCCCCGTAATTCTACCAAAATCGGGGTTTATATTATAAACCCCATTTTCTTCATCTCCCACGGATTTCGAGAAGTATCCATCCACCCCCTCTTTTTTTTTTTAATCACTTTTCGATAATGCTCTTGTTATGATTTGAAAAAGGATTATTTTTCTTATTAAAATTCTGTGGCGGTGAAAATTTCTAAAACATGAACAGTTATAGCAAGTAGGAGGATTTTAAGAGGATTCCTTTTCCTCCTAAATTATAAACAAACCATTACAAATGATAGTTCCCTCTGGGAATTTTTTCGCATTTTTTTAAATTTATTTTCAACGTATAAAGTATTTTATGCATAAAAGGGGATTGCATCCTCTTTTTCTCTCTCCCAAACATCTTCTAATAAAAATTTTCAGTTGTAATTAAGGTGAGGGGGATGAGATCAGGAAATTTTTTTTCTACAGTTAATCTACAAAACTTCATCTCGAGAGATTCAAAAAGACTTTTTTTGGGGAGGGAAATTTTATCGTATTTAATATTATTTTAATCGTGAAGTTCCTTCTAAGCGAATAGAGAAGTAAAAAATTCTAATTCATCGACAGTTGTAGCAAGGAGGAAAATTTTATCCCTAAACTGAAAAAAAACATTGAAAATAAAAACCTTTTTTTTTTAAATTTAAAAAAAAATATTTTTCTGTGCTTTTTACAATTTTTTTAAACATTTTTTCAAAATATTCAAACTTTTATTCTCTTTTCTTGCCCCCAAGCAATAAATTGGGGAACAATATTACAGATATATTACGGAACTATCCTCCCTCCCTCATTTTTTGTTAAAATTGTTTCTAAATATATTTTCTGATTGGAAGAGAAGAAGCAAAGCTAGAAATTCAATCATTTTTCGTAATTTTATTTTCAAATTTTAGGGAGATAAACTCACCGACATATTCCTGATTGCTACAATTCTTTATTTGTCTACAGTTTTGACTTCTCTAATCATTCAGAAGAAATTTAAAGATTAAAAAAAATCCTTCATTCTCTTCAGAAAGGTCCTGATTCTCTCGCGAGATAGTTTGGAGGATTCATTGTATTTATCCTCACCTGCTTTTAATCGAAATTGTGACTGAATCTTTTTTTATTTTTGGAAGAAAAAAGTGATATCAAGATGGAGCAAATAAGTTAAATAGTTGCAAAAAAAAATTTAACATTTGTAGCAAATTAAGGAGGGAAATCCTACCAAAGTACCCCTCTTTTCTACTCATATTTCAGAGCTTTTTACACCTCTAGAATTTCATAAAAATTTAACTATAAAATTTCCTTCAGATCAAATTTTGGTAATAAAAATAATTGAAAAATTCGTTTCCAAAAAACGGTGGATGATTATAGAAACCGGAGTCAATTCAGACAATTTCACGTAAGGGTTTTTTTTTTTTTTTTTACATTGCTTTACTAGAATGCTTAAGTTGGGTAAAATTAAGAGCTACAGAGCTATTTCAGATATAGTACTCATAGATTCTACAAATAAAATAGTACATAGATACGTACAAAAAATTACATAGATCTATAGCAGTGGTCAGAAAAACATTATTTTCGTAGTTTACTACAACTACTTTATTACAAATGTATTTAACTACATCTACAACTACTTTTTTCAAATGTAGTGACTACAAATTACTTCGGAATTGTAATAACTATTTCACTAATTTAAGGAGGCGAACTTTGCTGGAGAATTTACTTTACACTTTCGTACAAAATGGTTTTGAATAAAGAGGCTTACAAGGGAATAATTAAGAAATATTTATTCGTATTTACGGGAGTCAGTTTGTTATTCCAAAACAATTTTTTTCGAATTTGCTTTTTATATTTTTTTTCGATAGGGAATATTTAATTCAAAAAGGCGAAATTATCAAATACTTTCATTTTTTTAATTGCTTAATGCTCTTTTAATCCTCTACGAAATTAAGTACATGAAAAATATTTTCCCTTCTTTGAAATAACATCAATGTTTCATGAGTGTGCATTCGCATGCGAAAGCATCACCAGAGTAATTAATTATCTACTTTTGGTAATTCCTACTTTAAATATCAGTCCTGTTTGATTTTAAGTACGCAATTTCTGTTAACGATCAGTTACAGCCACAGGATCATTTTCATTGCATTTATTGACAGACCCGCGAGGAATTCTGCCAATCAAATTCAAAAAATTAGTTGAGTTTGAACCTTGTTTTTTTTCTAAACTAATGTTAAAAGTAATTGCCAGGAATAGCTACAAACTACTTTTTTTGTATCGCACTACTTTTTTAAACGCACATTGTTATAGATACATGCAAAAAATTGGATTTTTTTTTTATTCATATCGGATTTTTTTAATTTAAATCAGATTTTTGTTATTCTATTTACATATTCTATTTACATACATCAATCAAAGCTTTCATAAAATATATTTATAATGTTTAATACTATTTAGAAACAACATTACAATTAAAATACTTATTATGACTAGCTAAAATGATTAAAATAATCATATAAAAATTAAACATAAAACTAATTGCTAACATGAAAACTAATTTCTGAAAAAAAAATACTATTTATTTTTATTCAAGCTTAATTACTTTCATGAATTTGCAAAGACAAAAACCGAACATTTCTGCTGTTGTCTCGTCTATTAAAAGCAAAATATTTCCGGAAATTAAGACTTAGGAGTTAAACAACAAGTTAAGATCCGAAGATCCAACGTGCAAGTTAGATATCATATAAAGACTAAATTATTTAATCAAGGAAACATAAAAAAAAAATCATTTATACTAAATTACTCCTGACAGAAACAATTTTTCTTCATCATTTATATACATAATCTACATGTTCTATAAATTTTAAAGGCACCTTTATTTAAATAAACAATTGTAATAAATTGAAATTAACTCATTGGAATTAACTAAATTGTTATAAGTTGAAATACATTTGTTCAATGTAAATTATTTTGCGTACAGCCAAGGGAAAGTTATAGCTTACAAGTTAAACATGAACATAATCCACATTTAGTCCTTTTTTTGTCTATCGTGAACATTGAATAATACTTTACATACACTAAACTCTCATTAGTTCGCTGGATATTGCCTTCATTATAAATAGAATCAGAAATAATTTCAACCTTAAGATTACATTTAGATAAAATATTTTGTGACTTAAAAACTTTTTAAACAAGAATTTTTATTTTACAAAAAAAAATCAGTTAATTTAAATCAATGATTTAAAAAAAATCAAGCAACTACTATTTAAATTACGTACAAATCGTACTAACCATGGCTATTTCTGAAAGTGTCAAACAAAAAGGAAACGAGATCAATACCTGAAATCTTTGTCATATTTCTGAACTTGAAAGTCTTCAAACGAAGCACTTTCTCCAGAAACTCCCTGTTTCTTTGTAAGTGGAATGTGTCGACCATAACGATTCGAAACTCGAAGCTCTTTATTGTTGTCTACAATACTCGTTAGAATGTCAGGACCTTTCGAAAGCATCGAAGAAGAAGACGATCTCAGAATATCCTGAAATAGAATTAATTATTAAAGTCTGTTATAGGTTTTAAGCAACTTGGAATATTTAATCATAATAAGAATGTTGACTCTCTGGTACGGAATGACTAAATTAAATAAGGAAACTGAACTCTAATTTAACAATACAACACGAAAGATTTCTCTCTCTCTCTCTCTCTCTCTGTATATATATATATATATATATATATGGTTATCAAAATAATGGAAACACCCTAGATTTTGAAGACTTGGGAATTGCTGTTCTGCTGTAAATGTTCTCTTTATGAAGGTATCTCCTAACTGTAATTGTTGACCCTGGAGAATCCAGATGCTGATTGAGCTCTGCAGTCCCTTTGGCTGCAGTTGCTTTCTTTTCAGACATTACAATCCGCTTCAATACCCGTCAGTCTCTTTCACTCAGCTTCTCCCTCAGTCCACTATTTTGCTTTGCTGAGCTTGTCTTTCCGCGCTGTGTGTATGCTGTCATGACTTTAGACACCGTACCTCTAGAAACGCCTAAAAGCTGGGATGTTTCGGTCACTGTTGCTCCAACTAGTCGGGCTCCTACAATTTGGCCTCTCTGAAGATCTGTGAGGTCTGACATTTTACGCTTCTGACAAAAAATCAAAACGTAGACAACTCTGAAGCTCTCTCATACCACCTAATATATGTACTTTTTATATTAAAAAAAACTGGTAGATAAGATTATATTTTAATGCTTATGAAGCGAATTCTTAAATGTCCCTTTTATTCACAAGTGTTTCCATTATTTTGATAATCACTTATGTATATATATATACTTAAAGAGCTCACCCTTAAAAAGTTTCTTTTACTCCTATTTTATTATTTAAAGCTCACTTGGAAACAATTAAGAGAGGTCCCTCAAGGACACACAAATTACAGTGATACATGCAAAAAATTTTAATCGAAAACATAAATGATAATCAATTGTATATTTTATTTTGATTATTAATAGACTTCTAACACCTTTAAAAATGAAAAGAAATATAATAAATTGTATAATTAAATATAAAAGAATAATTAAAAACTAAACTTCTTTATGTAATACAATTATATCTCTATATATGACTTCAAAACCACCTCATCTGTAAGAACAAGCATTACTTAAATAATCCCAAGAAATCGAAGTTGTGAAATAATAATATAAGGCTTCATTTGCATCAAAAACAGATAAAAAGCCAATAATACCTTGATTTGCCATTTGTGATTTCTTTTTCTCTCTGTTACTGTGTTTTTTCTAGTTTTGTTTCTCCTCCTTATTTTTAAATCTTTATTCGCAACTTATTGTTTTTTTTTATTCAAAAAATTTTTGTTTCTTCTCATTGACATCTGGCAAGTCTTGAAGATGGGCACCGATTTTTGAAGTGCTTGAAGCATTTCGCCTAACTTACTTCCCATGTGTTTTTGAAGCTTTTAATCAGGTAATACACTATCATTACTTATCGTACCTTAGCCGTAACTTTAAACTTTAATTGTAACTGCTAACATCACTTACTGAATCATAACCGTGACTTTAGCAGTGATAACCAGCATTATTTCATGAACATGTGTTGTTTTCAAATGTCGAATTTGCTGTTCGTTGATGTCGAAAAAGAGAAACACAAAATAGCCATTTTAATTTTTAATGATTGCTACCAATTTGAAAATGTACCTGAAGAGAAATTTGTTTTGTTTCTTCGCAATATAATGGCAAAACTAAGAGTAATAATGACTAATTGTATATCCTACTGAATCAATAAAAAGGTTCACGTTTTCCCTCTGGAAAGGATGTTATGACAAATTTTATATACTTTCATGGTACTAAGAAACTTTCTATTAGTGATAGTACTGTTCTCGTATACATTGATAATATTATTATTCCAATTACTAAGCTTAAAATTTTTACTATTTTCGAATTCCTTATTAACAAGTTCAACATAGAATTTTTTACTGAAGATTGCATAATTATTGTTAGCTTTATCTATGGAGGTAATAAAAAAAATTTTGTAATTGCTTAATTGATTGATCAACTTTAGAAAAATTTATTGAATTGTCACTGTTATTTAAATTTTTCTCATTAGTTAAAACAAAGTTTTTAAAGTAACAATAAACAGTCCATTTCCATTCTATTAACATACCTAAAGGTAAAGTGAATCTATTTGATATCTTAAAACGAAGAGATTATTAAGAATTTAATGATAAAAGGCACAAAATTTAAAAACATTTACCATATAACAATTTATAAAATTCTAAATATACTTTCTGAAGTTCTAAATTTTCTGTATTATTTAAATAACCACTAATGATAAGTTTATAATGTTTAGCAAAATATTCAAAATATTTCTCATCTTCACAGAGACATTCATAATAAGATATATTAATTTTCTCCAAATTTTTTCTAATATTATTATAATTAAAAATAGTTTTGCCAAGAGATTTATCATATTTAAAGCTTTTAATAATGTTAAAATCTCTTAATGGAAACAATTTTTTTTTAAATTTTCAAAAATGTCATGAAATTTAATCTTATCAGAAATAGGGCTTTGAAAATTAATAACGAATTATAAAGCATCCAAATTTTTCCTTTTATTTGGTGAAATGTTACTCTCAGTTTAGCCTTTACAAGATCGAAACAAAGAAATTTGAAGTGTAAATTAATAAAAGAACAGTTAATAATAAGATCTTAAAGCTCATATATATTATTATTATTCAGGGAGAAAACAAGATCTTTCATTGGTTTAATATTATCTGCGCTTATTAAAATCTTTTTCGCTGCTAGAAATAAAATTTACATTTAATTTTTTACTATGAAGAGAGTTTTTATTACTCCCTGATCCCCGTTTGCCTCGATTTGTACGATTCCTTTACCTTGATTGGGAAAAAGTGAGTAAGTTAAGGAGTTAATAGCTTTTATGTATATATATATATTATATTCAATTATTCAATATTTGTTTGTCTTAATAATTAATTATATAAATAGAAAACATACTTTTGTTTAAACAGATAGAATACCTCTAAGATCTAATTTTTCATTACATCTAGCTAACTTATTTTTACTCCTAATATTAAATTTGTTTTTAGATTTATTGATGATTTAATTATTTTTAAATTTCAATGTTACAAATTTGTTAAATAATACTTACCCCTAGGAATTAATCCTGCTTTCGTAATCAGGACGCCCATATTAATTTTAATTTTGTTGGATTTAAGTATTAAAATAGAACATATCAGTATTTAAAATCATTCCTTTTATCTTTCATTGGTGAATTGTACGTTAAAAGGAATGATTTTAAATTGAGTACAAATAGGCTAATTACATGGAATTCTAATGTTTCTAATACTTATTTAAATACTATTTTTAATAATTAGAACTAAAAGAATTAGTAGCAATGTTTATTTGTCCAAAACAACAAATAAAAAGGAATGAAATTAAAAAGAAACAATTCCGAAATTTGATTAATAAAAACAAATAAAAATTATAAAAAGCAATGGATATCCAACTAATGTAAATAAATTCTGTTTAAAATCCTTAAGTTAATTGCATGTTATAATTTTTATTGGATTTATCAAAAAAATTTGTTCCCTAAATTTGTATTTATACCGTGTGCAAATCCAATTCAGACGAATCCATTGCTAAAAATCTTCTAATATTTAATGAAACATTTTTTTTTTCAATAAATTTTAATAAATTCTCTAAGGATTATCAAAATTAAAATTGTATAATTAAAATTTGACCTTTCCTTAATTATAAACTTTAAATTATCCAGTATAATAAAATTACCTTGCGCACATCCAGATTCTGCCCGATCCAAAACAACTGACAAATCAAATATGTTTTTGTACTACAGTAAGAACGCGTTATAAAAACATCCCACTATCCTTTATTTACGCTTTTATTTTCATATTTTGTAAACTGGCAAACTTGTTACGATAATATTTTAAATAAGTTTTGCAAGATGCCGGTAAGTGGAAAGTCATTTGAATTCGCTACTCGCTGTATATGTTACATGTAGTGTTTGTTTTTTTTTCGTAATTTTATTAAATTTTTATTCTTGCTTGATATGTTACATTTAGTGTTTTTTTTCCGTAATTTTATTACATTTTTATTCTTGCTTGATTTGTTTCATTTTGTATTTTTCGCTTAACTTGCTTCATTTTCGATTCAATTTTTTGGTGCTCCTCATAATATTGTACGAGGGTTGCTATTTATATTTCTGGCCTAATAATGAAAAAACAAATATGTGGGATAGAAATTGGTTTCATTGTTTTTCGAAATATTCTCCATGATGATCAATACACTTTTCATGCGTTTGAACCAATTTTCAAAGCACTTTTTCCAGTCCGATAGAGGTAACTCCAAAACATGCGTTTTGAATGCATCAACCGCTTCTTCGGGGGTCGAAAATCGTTGTCCACGTAATTTATTTTTGATGTGTGGGAATAAGAAGAAGTCATTGGGTGCCAAATCAGGGCTGTACGGCGGATGACCCATCAGTTCGATCTTTCGCTCCGTCAGAAATGCCTTTGTTTGAGTCGATGTGTGAGAGCTCGCATTGTCA